TTGTCATAGTGGCCCAGACGACCGCACACGCACTGGACGTACTTGGCTGGGCACCGTACTGTGAGTGACCAGTGGCCCTTACGGTCACAACTGTTGCATGTAGACTCAGCAGCTGGACACACCTGTGTTCCGTGCTGCTTACCACAGTTGTTACAAAATGAACCGGGCGTGGACGTGGTGGGCGAAGGCGTAGGAGCAGACTTCTTGTCCTTCTTGTGTACAGCTGTAGGGGGACGGATGGCAGAGGTGGCACACCTGGCAGCCTCATAGGAGCGACATATCGCAGTCGAGGGAGGTGAGGCGTTGGACAAGGGGATCACCTGCTTCAACTGGGTCTCCTCGCACTGCTGGTGGTGGCCTAGACATATATCTACTTCTTCCGAGGCTCTCTTAAGACGTACATAAAAGGCGTCAAAAGTCTCACCCTCCATCTGTTTGCAGCTAAACAATTCCCTCCTGCGCAGAGCTTCATTCTGCTGCCCTTTGATGTGCCGTTGTAGAATGTCCAGTACCTCCTCTACAGACAGCGAAGAGGTCGGAGGTACCTGCAGCGTATGTTCTAAGACACGCTGAACTTCCAAGGACAGGCACATACGCAGCTGGATGAGTTGTTTAGGCTGTGACAAACTCTGGAGATTCACCATTGTAGAATAATTAGTCCACCGTCGCCGCCATTCACGAAAAGTCTGGAAATTCACATCAGGCGTCAAAATGGGCGGTGTTTGAGCTGCTGCTTTAGGTGGTGCTGGGGGGCGTGAAGAGAGCATTGATGAGGTATCTGAACCAGTCAGTACCGAGGCAGTGTTAGAGCCAGGGGCTTGGTTAACAGTGAGGCGAGATATCAAAGCTTCAAACCGTGCACTGTCTTCCAATCTCCGTTGGTGGTCTCTCTCTGCCTCTGCTTGTCTTCTGCGTTCGTCTGCCGCACGTCTGTTAGCTTCATCCTCGCGCCTTTCATCTCTCATAAACTTCATTAAAGCAATTATCTCTGGAGACAACGCTGAATATGGAGGTGAAGGGCTGCGCGATGCTGTGGGAGCTGGAGCGTCGTGGTCAGCCTGGTCATCCATCTCTGCGGGGCTATCATCCGACTGACTCATCCGGGCATCGGGTCCACGGCTACGCAAGGCACGAGACATAACTACTTCATCTGTGTACTTTGTCTTAAATCAGTGTTGACCGGTCAGCCCGTCGTATCAACAAGATCTCAGACAAAAAATTTAATTAAATACACAGATAAGTAGATTATATATATAAAATATATATAAGGGAGCCGCCGCGGTCAGTGAGTGTTAGTACATGTATGTGTGGGTGCGCGCGTCTGGGTGGGAGCAGTCTTGCTGGGAGGGAGAGGAGGGAGAGGCGGCGACTCACAGTCAGTCGCCAGTTACCCTCTGGACGCGGTCAGAGGAGGGTGCACTGAACTCTACTCCCCACAAATCCCCTGAACATGCCTTACACCTTGGGAATCCTTTAGAACAAGGTCACACATGTATGGCACGAAACACACAATGCACTAAACACTTCACAGAAAATCACTGTCACTGACACTGCTCAAAGTTGCTAAATTCTTCGAGGACGGGTGGCGGGCGGCGGTTGACACAGGGCAAGGGGTCCATAAGCCGGCTTTCCACAAACTTTGCACTGTCACTCATAATTATCCAGTAAAAGTACGCACTGCGCCATGTTCAATGTTCTGGGTAATAAGTTCAATATACAGGAGCGAACACAAACACCTGTATAGATTTTGTAGGTTCGATTTACTGGATAAGAGATATGTACACAAAGGGAGTAGTGCCGCTCCTCAACCTGGCTGCTTGTCAACTGCTCTATAGACGACGTATGGCAAGTGATACATTAGCAGCTTCCATACGTCGCCAGGCACATTAATTAAGCATGTGGGACATCTTAAATACATTGCCACACACTGCTAGCTAGGCTGAATAAATAGTACATAAATGGAGCACATACATAATATACATACATAATATATAATACAGCATACATAATATACATACACTCACCACCACAGAAAAACCTTGAGTTACCTGGACCAAGCCACCCCAAGCCCAAGAAAGTGCGGCATGCCTTAAGCTATGAAGTTAAATATAAAATCGTTCAAGAGTTAGAGAAAGGAACAAGGCAGATGAATCTGGCGCGACAGCATGGCATTAACGAATCTACGATCCGCACCATCGAGAAGAATGCCGCCAAGATAAAAGAACATATGAGCATCACAAAGTCTGCAGGTGCCTCGTTGGTCAAGTATTGTCAGAATAAGGTGCTGCTCAAGACAGAATTTATTGGTGAGCTACTTGATTCATCAGGCGAGAAGGAACGTGGCGGTCGACACTGGGGCAGTGCAGGACTACGTGAGAGAACTGTACATGGCAGTGGCGCGAAAGATGGGAATTGCAGAGCCCAAACCCTTCACTGCTTCTGCTGGGTGGCTGCAAGGGTTTAAACGTCGTAACAAGATCACGAACGTTGAAATTGTTGGTGAAGGTGTGAGTGCTGACCGTGCTGCGGAAATGGATTTTCCTCCATTCTTACGAAAAATTATGGAGGAAGGACAGTACACCGACGACCAGGTGTTCAACATGGATGAATCTGGGTTCTTTTGGGAGAAATTACCTTCCAAGACATTCGTCGTCAAGTCTGCCAGCAAGTGTAAGGGCCGGAAGTTGCAGAAGGAGCGCATCACCGTCCTGTTCACCACCAATGCCTCCGGCACCTGTAAGCTCAAGTTGTCTGTGATCCACACAGCCAGCAAGCCGCACGCCTACAAAAACATGGACATGAGCAAGTTAAATGTCCACTGGCTAACCTCAAGGAAGGCGTGGATGTTCACTGGTCTGTCCCTCTCCTGGTTTGACGACTGTTTCGTTCTTGACGTAAAAAAATTTTGCCCGCAAAATAATGTGCCATTCAACATTTTGTTGCTCCTTGACAATGCATCAGGACATTCGCCCCTACTGTTGGATCGTCACCCCAATGTAAAAGTGGTCTTCCTTCCCCCCAACACTACGTCGTTAATCCAGCACATGGATGATGAGTTGATATGTAACGTCAAGGCTGCTTTCTCCGCAAAGAAGTTTCGGCTCCCGAACGACTTCACCAACACCAAGGATGAATTGCGGAACAAGGGTTCAACGTCAAGAAGGCTGTTGATTTCTTGGTGGAGGCATGGGGACAGCTGTCTGTGGCAACGATTCGTCATGCGTGGCGGCATGTGTTGCAGGGTATCCCAGGTGGGAGGCAGAGTCAAGCGGTGGCTGGTGAGGTTCAGTCTGTTGTTGTGGCATTGGACATTGCAAGAGAGGCTGCACAGAGTGTTAGAGCTGCAGGCTTCTCCGAGACCACCAACGACGACATCCTGGAAGTAATCAGGCAACCTGAGGTGACTGTGGACTAGTTGCTGGAAGATGATGACGTCAGTGAGGAGGCAGGTGGTACGGCAGAACAAGAAGAACAAAAGTTAACACATGGTGATGTAAAGGAGGCCATCGAGTTGGACGAGAAACTCAAGCTCATTTTTTCCAAAGACCCAGTGAATCACCTATACGAAGTCTTCAATAACCATCTGTTGCAGTCTATGGAGCCGTATATCCAGCTGTATCACGACCACATCAATGCTAGCCGTCAACGTAACATAATCGACTTCTTCGCCCGCAACCCACCACAACCACAGCCAGCCCAAGTCAGTGATAGTGACAAAATGGATTTTGAGGGGTTTGTCAAGGAGGCCCTGCTAACATCTGTGCTGGATAGTGATACAAGTGATTCACCTGAGGGCCAATAATCTGCCCTCTGCCTTGGAACCAGCCCCCATTCCCGTGTGCCCAGCCATCTCTTCTACTAACGTAAGTGTTAAAAACCTTGATATTTCTCTTATACTGTACCTGTACAGTACTGTATATTATTCTCTTATTTTTATCTTATATATTATGTGTGTGTCCATACCATCATAAAATTAAGATGTTATTTTTACTACAACGTACGAATTGTGTCGGAAAAAATGTAGTCTGGGGGTCGGCCCAGTCTCTATTTCAATTAATCCCATATGTTCTGTTATTTCGTTTACGCGTTCCTCGTTTCACGTGGACCTCCACGGGTTCAATTGACCATGTAAATCGAGACTATACTGTATAATACCTGCTACAGTAGATGTTACAGGACAAAGGCAGGCCAAACTGTATCATCATATCACTATTTGCCCTTCCTGCATCACAAACTCAAGTCGACAGCATCTACTTGTGAGTACAGTACTGCATATATAGTACAGTAGTAGTATATTTGTTTATTTACAGTTCAGTATATTGTACATGTACAGTGGTGTTTGCATAAATAAATGCAGCCATGTGTCTGACCCTGCGAGATGAGTAGTTTAGACTCTTGGAAAACTTTCCCCAGTACAGCACAGTACTGTACCCGGAGAAATCCGGGGGATGTGCAATGTTTTCCGGGGATGAGAAATCTCATCTTCATACTCGGAAATCTCTCCAACCCAGAACCACTCTGCACCAGTTATTCCGGCTAACAGAGAAATTAGTGAATTAGAAGTAACAGAATTGCCACGTTTGAAAGCAATATGCTGTGTAAATAGAATGTGGGCAGAAAGTGGATCAGGATCTGCCCAAATGTTACAGACATTGAAAGATCAGAAAATGAAAGATAGGCAAAAAGAATCTATAATTCAGAGGTAAATGGTGGAATGGAGAGGGGAAGACAATGCAAATGAAAGGATGAAGTGAAGAATACATAGAAGTGAGGTGAATGAAAATCCAGAAAAAAAATAGTGTGTGAATGAGTGGAAGGCACAGTGGCAAATGAAATTGGGAGAAGACTATGCTGCGAAGCAACAGGAATAATGCAGATCTTGGGTGTTGTTATAGATGGGGACTACACACACTTTATTGTACCTGTAGTAAGAATGCAAAACTATAATTTTATTGCTCTTGTTTTTGGCATGCATAATTAATACATGTGTATATTTGCAGCTCCTGGCAATGTGAGTATAAGCTGGGAAGATGATGGCTACTCCCTTCGAGGTTGGGACACAGTCCTTAATGCTAACGTCATTATTGACGACAACATAGACTGTACTCTGTTGATACAAGCTACCTCGCAGATTGTTATTGAAGACTGCTACAAACAATATAACTTTGTGGGCTACATATGTGAGGCTGTGCTACCTAACCCATAGGCTTCTGTTGTGAACCAATCTCGTACAGTACTCACGGTATTCCCACCTCACTTCAATCTCATTATTATATCAAAATTACTTCAATTACCTGGCTACTCACATTGTAATAATGCAATTTATATAATCAATGATACAGGTATTTTGCTCTCTTTACAGGTACCAAGGCCGAATTAACCATTAGGAAAATAAAGTTTTAGATTATTTTTGTCATTATATCTGACTGTGTATTATTGTCGATAAATATGTATGTGTGATTTCCTATTAATTTGCTTCCCAAATATTTAGTGATGCTATGGAGACTGGTATTTTGTGTGAAGGATAGAGTGATAAACATCAACCACTCAACAGATGCCTGTATGTTTGCAAGTGTCCAAATTAACTCCCAACTGCAATTAACTTAATGGTGAGTCTTGGAACTGTTCTTCAACAAATGCGTGACAATTTAGACGAGTGAGGCTCAGGAGGTTGAAAAGACAATGAATCAGGAATACAAATCAGCTAAACGTTGCAAAAACAAAACAAAACAGGAGACATTTGATGGCAATCATGACACAACTTCACACACTTTCAGTGACTAAGATTTCAGAATTAATGTTGCACATTCCTCACACTCAGTGGCAACCTGAAGTATGCATTAGAACATGGAATCAAGACCTATACCAATGTTGACAATACCATTAGTGTCCCGTCAAATTGTACTCATAATGTCAAGCTCTCAAGTCTGTGAAGGTATCAGATGCTTATCAAGATGATTTCCCAGTAGATGGTAATAAACCATTTATTTGTTTTGTTGAATTTTCAAGTCTTGATACAGAAAAGAAGATGGGAGTACCCAGTATGCCTCTTTGTATGTATAATACCAGGTAATCGCTGAAATGTTTTCCAAGTGTAGAAATTGCAATATGGCTGTTCTGTATTTGTCATTAATAGTCACTAAATGTAGAGAAGAACATCCTTTCTCCATTCTCAAAGAGATAAGAAATGTCTATCCACCATGAATCAGGAGAATTATATTGCTTTGTCTCTTTAGCATTTAGTGAAATTGTCAGGTCTTTAACCCCTTCAGTACGAGGATGCAATGTTTAATATTTTATTTGGCTAACCAAACGATTTTATTCAGCTCATATCAGAAGCGACCCCATACACAAGGGATTAGTAGATTACAGTGAAACCTCTATTTAACGTACTATATGGAGAGGAAAGTGCGTTATATCGAGGGTCCATCAGACAAAACCTCCAGCTAACTAACTATATATAGAGAAGAAAGTCCGTTATATAGAGAGTTCTTTACATGTGAAACTTACCATCTCACCGATTATATGGAGAGAGAAGTCTGTCATATTGCGGTTTCACTGTATCTCCCCTAATTCCATCACTACGGGGACGCCACTTTTAATATTTAATTTGGCTAACGCCAAACGATTTTATTCAGCCCAGAGGCGACCCGTGCGTAATACTGTATTTATGAAATTATCCACGGCCTTACTACAGCCAAGGCCAGGAAGAAACCAACCAACCTTTGTGTGGAAATATGCATGCAGAGAATGTTTTGTATGGTGTCACAATTTAAAGCTAAGAAGGAGTAACCATTCTGTTTGAATAGTATAATACAGGGTGTCCCAAAAAAATGTGCTCACTCTTTGACTGCCCATAACTCATATATTTTTTGTTTTTGTTTCAGGTGCGACTAACCCTAAATAATGTTATTTTCTTTAATTTAACTCATTAGACTTGTATCTATGTCAATAAACACCTAAATCAAAACAAAAAATATATGAGTAATGGGCAGTCAAAGAGTGAGCACATTTTTTTGGGACACCCTGTAGTTTTGCTATTTTTTCATAGCTTTGATATTTGCTTGTTGCTAAATTAGAATAAATTTATAGTATCGTACATTTCTGTGCTTGAAAATTTTAAGAATTATTGTACAGTATAATTATAGAATATATGGTATTGTACATAATATAGGCCCTTCCATCTTGTTAGATGAACATCCCTCACAGTTATAATCCGGCCCTGTATACAATAGAATACAACTGATCAATTACATCATTACAAACTTAAAATTCCCAATACTTTACTTTATCCTCTTTGTCAATAATTGCCCTGTTAACTGTTTAAGTCATGTCTTTGTTATGCACTGTTGGCAAGGGCATATTCTGGTTTCAGAATGTATCTGTATCTGCACCAATGTTGGTCAAGTCTGGTCTTGGATGAGCTCACACTCGGTGCCATCACAACACTCCGTGGCAGATTATTCCGAGAGTTCACAACTCTTCCAAAAATGATTATCTTAACAGTTGTCTGAACTTGTTTCTTTATCCAAAGGCTGTGACCTCTAGTGGGGCAGGCATCAACTAGTTCCAGTTATGAACACTCAAATTAATATTATCCTCTGAGGTGATTATAGACTTCCACAAAGTCACCTCTTGATGATTAACAGCAGGTGTTCTAATCTCTATGGGAACCTGAGGAGCTGGAGAGCGGGCGCCAGTCTGGTAGTCCTCAATTGGACATTTTCAATCAATTGACAGTCTCTAGCATATCTCGGGGACCAAACGGGGTAACAGTACTTCAGACAGTACTTCGAAGAGCGTTATGGGGATGGACCATCTAAGTATGTGAAATAATAAAAATAATAATAATAATAATAATAATAATAATAATAATAATAATAATAATAATAATAATAATAATAATAATAATAATAATAATAATAATAATAATAATAGCAGGTCTTTTGTTTCACAAAGCACCAGTTCTTGTAAAGAATTCACTAGCGTTCGAAACGTTACAAAGTCAAAGACTTGAGAATAAACAGAAATATACTGCTTTACAATAAAGGATCACAAAAAGTGACAGTTCGGCTTCTATCATTCACATACTGTATCCTAAGTTGTAATACTCCCTAAAGCCTGTAATTCTCTACCACCGTACCCTGTTCAGGATAATAAGCTTTCAAAAAAAGAAAGGTTTCAAGTTGTTTCTTAAAGGCCTCCACAGAAGTCAGCTGCTTCATGGATGCAGGCAACCGACTGTACAATCTGGATGCTGTATAGGAAAAGGATAGGGCAGCAAAAGAACATTCCCGCACTGCTCTAGGCTCTTCAAGGCGTAAAGGATCATCACTACAGTATTACGCAAAATCATTTTAGAATGTGTAGTCAGTGGAATTAGTAGGTGGGCCAAATACTTAGGCTCACCAAATATTACTGTCTGAAAAGTCATTTGAAAGAGTTTGAACTCTTTCTTAGTTTTAACTGGAAGCCAATATAATTCAACCAAGAATGGGGTACCGTAGTGGGAGTCCTCGGTGGGAGAGCAGAAATAAGCCTCGTAACCCTGTTCAACACTGTTTAAACTTTCTACATTAGATAATTTGGTAGGCAGACCCATAAAGGGTTACAATAGTCAACCCGAGACAAAATAAGTGAATGTAATAGTGTCACAAGACACTGTCTATCCAAAAACTGTTTAGCAGCATATAGATTCGAATATGAAAGTTGCAACTCTTAACTACTGAATTTATATGCTCTTTAAAATTTAATTGTGAGTCAAAGCACACTCCAAGAATACGAACAGAATCAACAGGACTATAAGTTGCACTTCCCTAAAGTTTAAAGAGCCAAAACCATCTGGGCCGTTTCCTATTTCCTGGGATGATAAGCTCTGTTTTGCCGTCATTAGGCTTAAGTTTTTTCCTAGCCATCCAAACCTTAATATCTTGTACTTGTATTAGGGATTGCTGGCCACTTCGCCTTTGGGCTATTTCGGCCGGAGCTGATGTCTTCTTTCTTCTTCTTGAGGTTTCTTCTTCTAGTCTTGGTCTTCTTTCTTGCTACAACTAATCTGATGTTCTTGTTTCTTCTTTTCTTGTTATTCTTGTGTTCTTCTTGTTCTTGGTATTTTGGTTTCTTCTTTCTAGTTGTTGTTTTATTTGGGATGAATTATGGTATGAGTGAGTGATATGACAGTGAGTTACTGACAGACCAGATGAAATGGCCGGTCAGGTGACTAGTTTCTCTGTGATTTGAATTTTTTTTTTATTGTCTTTTGTAGCCCGTGTCTTTTTGTTTGAATATGTGTTGGTAGGTGTCAGTTTTACTTGGTATATGTGCGTGTTGTATGTAATGGAAAGGTTTGTGATATGTCTCTGATGTTGTATGTTTTAATTTTTGTTTTTTTCATTTTTATTTTCTTCAGGGCATGGTTACATACATATTATAAAAAGAATTCATGCGTGTGTCTTTCACAACATGCCGATAAGACGGGTCTCCTTGAGGAAGATTATTACAGCGTCACTTATGGTGACATCATCTTGCAATATATTGGGTACAGTCAGCACGAAGCCTCTCTTGGCAGCTAGCATCACCAGCTGCCGGCGCTCTGGTTCGTACTGGCTGCACTCCGTTAGAATGTGCCGAATGGAAAGAATTTTGTTGCACGTGGCACAGATAGGTGGAAAGGAGTTGTCTAAATAAGCTTTTAAGTGGGTCAAATAGGTACAATTTAACCTTAGTCTGGCGAGAACCACTTCTTCCCTCCTATTCTTTCGGTATGCTGAAAGCCAGTTTCCTATGTTATTCTTCCAGTTGTTGCGAAGATCTAACCTCGTCCAATCAAGTTGCCACTTCCCTGTTGTATATGTCTTCCCCAAGGAGAGACACGACTGACGCTCCCAGGGTACATTGGTTGTCTCCCTGAGACCCACAGTCGCTTTTGCTAGTTTGTCTGCCTGTTCATTGCCCCGAATGTTGCAATGCCCAGGCACCCATATCAGCACAATATTCTTGGCACACTCATGTAGTTTATTAATAATGTTGCCCTGTATCTCATTGCTGGTAGTGTCACCACCTTGAATTGTTTTAAGAGCTGACATAGAATCTGAAATGATAGCAACATCATTGACATCGCTTGTTATTGCAATGTCAATGGCTCTACTTATTGCAAACATCTCTGCAGTGAATATGGTTGTATGCCGCGGCAGGCGGGAGCACCACTCCCCGTCTCTGCTCCAGATACCGGCTCCAACGATGTCGTCAGTCTTGGACCCGTCGGTGTACACGTGAGAATAGGCGCTCTATCCTTCTAGAAGTTGATAGAAAAGTTGTTTCAGGAGCTCAGGATGTAGGTCATTCTTCCCTCCTGGAAGCCACGATGTTTCCACATGGAAGTTGGGGTTCTCCCATGGCGGACACAACGGTGGAACGTATCTATCAACGTTTT